TTGGCCATTTTGAATACTCTTAAGTCCTTTTTGTGAAAGTAATTTCACATTTAAGTTAAAAATAAGTTGCATTAACCTTTTAAATTCGTTCCCTGCAGAACGTGTAAACCAGTTTATGTTAACTATTTTGCACCATCACGTGTGAGATAGCACAACAGGATGAAAATAGCTTCTCCAAGATGTGAGAGAGAGCTGCCGCACTGCATTTTGAAGCATTGGCGAAGCACCTACATTCATGTTTAGGAGTCCTTTCTTGAGAAGATTAAGGATTGGAATCAGCCACTTTGAATATTTAGAAACTTTTTAAAGGAAAAGTGATCGGTATTAATATGTACAATCCTGGAGGCAGAGAGTGAACTAGATGATGACTAAAAATTATAAATAGACAAGGAGGTACTCCGTCCAGAGTTGGTTCCTTCCAGTGGGTTCTTGGTCTCGCTGTCTTCAAGAATGAAGCCACGGACCCTCGTGGTGTTACAGTTCTTAAAGATGGTGTGTCCGGAGTTTGTTCCTTCAGATGTGTTCGGAGTTTCTTTCTTCTGGTGGGTTTGTGGTCTTGCTGACTTCAGGAGTGAAGCTGCAGACCTTGGAGGTGAGTGTTACAGCTCATAAAGGTGGCGTGTCTGGAGTTGTTCATTCCTCCCAATGGGCTCGTGGTTTTGCTGGCTTCAGGAGTGAAGCTGCATACCTCCATGGTGAGTGTTACAGCTCATAAAGGTAGTGCGGACCCACAGAGTGAGCAGCAGCAGCAATATTTATTGCGAAGAGTGAAAGAACAAAGCTTCCACAACGTGGAAGGGGACCCGAGCGGGTTGCTGCTGATGGCTCCAGTGGCCAGCTTTTAGTCCCTTATTTTTCACAGAGTACTGATTGGTGCATTTACAATCCTTTAGCTAGACAGAAAATTTCTCCAAATCCCCACCCCACCCAGAAGCCCAGCTGGCTTTACCTCTCAGTACATTCATGTTTGTGAAATAATCTAGGGACTGTGTATTGAGTTCAAGTTATTCTTTTAATCTGTCATTTTGGAGCCTAATATTTTTGAAATTAACTAGAAAGTGGCACCTGAAGAGCTCAGTTTTGTTTTTCCTCCTTTCTACACTAGTTAAAGCAGAGCCCAAACAGTATGTGTTGCTATTACCTGGCGGGTAACCTGTATGAACTATTTTTACTTAGCGATTTTTGCTCTTGTCATTTGTAAAGTATTTGATTTTAAAAATACTTTAAAAACCAGGTGCTCTCATTCAGCACTATGCTGGTTTCTGGGGCATAGGTGAGGCTGCATCTGTGTGTGGTTAGGTGAGATGCTGAGGAGGATGAGCTTACTGGTTCATCACTAGAAAGATGGGGACCCTTATCACTAAGATCTCAAGAAAGTGTTAGGTGAGCCTGGTTTATATTGGCTAGAGGTTTGAACCATGTCTATGTTGCAAGTTTTCTGTGACTCTCCAAAAGAGTGATCATGAAGATATCAACAGTATGGGCATTATGGCACACTAAATAATGGTCCCCCAAATACCCATTCCCTATTCCGCAGAGTCTGTATAGATGTTACCTTAGAGACTTTGCAGATGTGATTGAGGATCTTGAGTTGGTGAGATTATTATGGATTATCTGTGTGGGCCTTAAATGTCATTGTAAGAATCCTTATATGAGAGAGGCAGGGTGAGATTTGACTAGCAGCAGAGAAAAAGATGGGGTGGTGGCAAAAGCAGAGAATGCAGTGAAGTGCTTTGAGGATGGAAAAAAGGGGCCACAAGCTGAAGGTGAGACCTCACTAGAAGCCAAAAAAGAGGAAAAAAAAAAAAATCCTCCCCTCAGAACCTCCAGGGAAAAACAAGCCCTGCTGGCACCTTGATTTAAGCCCAGTGAGAAACACTGCAGACTTACGACTTCCAGAACGCCAAGAAAATAAATTTGTGTTGTTTTAAACCACTAACCTTCTGGTAATTTGTTACTGCAGCAGTAGAAAATGAATGCAGGCATTAGTCACAAGGAATGTCCCACCAGTGTTACTAAGGCACAAGTGTGAGGATCAATATTGTTACATGTAACACTAAGGACACAGTTGTAAACAGATTCGAAAACAAGATTCTGGGGAAGATAATACCATATATATAAACATAATGAAAGCTTCTAAGGTCTATCTAATATCAGGATTTGAAATGCATAAAGGAAATGATCAGAATGATCAGAATAAAGAGAATACACCAAAAAAAGTAACTTGGATTTGAGTAAAACCGTAAGTTACATCCGGAGTAAGACTATATTGGAAATCATGGCAAAGATCTTGGGCTGCTGGGACAAAACCCCTAAAACCTCAGCATATAAAAGATTTATAAAAAGTCTTTCAAGCAGATTGGTAGCTTCCTCTACTATCTAGTTGCCTGACCTCAGGTTAGCTTTCCTGGGTGCAGACAATCATTCTGTAAAACCTGCTATAGAACTGAACCTCTTAGATCTCAGTTAAGCTGAGTTTCATAAAAGGTGACAGGTCCTTGGGGCTGAGAGCAGGATTTCACTTTTTTTGCTTGGCTTTTTTAGCACAGTTCACATGATTAGCATTAAAGAGGAGAACAAAGGATGAGAAGAGGTAAGATTCCCAGGCTAGGTCAAGCTCAGGACAACTTTTGGCCGCATGGTTCCGAGAATGGGTAGATTGTTTTCTTGCTGTTAGTTGGCTGAGGTGTATCAAACCTTGCAACGGCTCAATTTTATGGAACAAAAGATCACACAAGCCTAAGAGAATCAATAAAGTGCTGGCAATAGAATTTCTTCCAGTGAAACAGGCACATTGAATTTCTCAGGAAATGATTTCAATTCCTAGAGAAAACTGCATTCAGCTTCTTGGTTATTGTACAATTTATCTCAGGGGTTTTTCACTCTCTTTGGAGTAAAGTGTTTGCTTTCCAGAGAAAAGAGTAAACCATTAATTAAAACTGCTTCAAAGTAGTAAAATAGTACACCAAAGTAAACTGGTATGAAGTATGTAGACTCTCCTGATTAGAGTTGTCTCTAATAAAATGCATCTTGGAAAAAGGTAATGTATTTGCTAAGAAACTCAGCCAGATGAATAGAAAAAAATAGAAAACAGTATTTTCTGACTGTAGCAAAGATAATACATTATTTTACTCTGAGGATCCAGAGCAAGTAGGGTGCTAATGGCCATGTGAAACATTTTGGCCTTTATCTATGGGAAAATAAAAAACTTTTGAGGGTTCTGTGTGGGGTGGGGGTGTAATATATCTAGGTTTGCATTTTGAAAAGGTTGTTCTGGTGCCATGTGGAGAATGGATTGGAAAGGGGCAAAGGTAGATATGAGAAGCTAGTTAGGAGAATGCTGCAGTAGACCAGGCTAGAGATAATGGCATATTTGGGGCTTGGGGGACAATAATGGAACCAGAAAAAGGAGAAAAAAAATCCACAGAGACTTGGGAAAGAATATGAAATAACTCATTAATGACTTGAATATGGAAGGAGGTATTAAAAACTCCTAAATTATCAATGCTTGGAGGAAAAAGGTTATATAGCTTTTAAAGATTTAGCATCCATTGATTTGATTGATTGATTAACAGGCTCTAGCTAAGCTCCCCAGACTGGAGTGCAGTGTTGGCGATCACAGCTCACTGCAGCCTCCATTGTCTGGGCTCAACAATCATCCCACCTCAGCTTCCCAAGTTAGCTGTGGCCACAGGTGCACACCACCATGCCTGGGTGATTTTTTAAAAAAATTTTTTGTAGAGATAGGCTCTCCCTATGTTGCCTAGGATGGGCTTGAATTTCCGGGCTAGCATGATCCTCCCACCTTGGCCTCCCAAAAGTATTGGAATTACAGGAGTGAACCATCATGCCCAGCCCCTTTTCAATCGTTAAACTGTGTTTTAGATACAAATGTTCCCAACTGACATTTTGCAAAAATTATAAATTGCACTGATATGTGGAGATTTGGGGAAGAAATCTGTCCTGGGAAAGCTTACAAGTTAAAAATCAATATTGAAACATACTTTAATTTATTTACAAAACTTGGTATAAAATTTAGTTCTCTAAGATCATGCCAATAGTCCACTTTATCTCCAACATTTAATTCCAGTTTAATGAAGGAATTAGATGATTTCTTCAGAGTTTTGAAATAAAAAATTATCCTGAATAAGAAAAGTTAGTTACTTTCTGGTATTTTAAAGTACCAGAATTTATAAAATACACTTTCCTTGAGATCTTCTTGGTCAAAGTTTCATAGTAGCATAAGTTCTAGTAAAGCTGATATGTCACAACTATTTTTGGAGTCTGTGCCACCTCTGATGTCTATTTCTGGTTGCCATGGCTATGAGAAGTGGGTGTCCCAGAAATAGGATGACCTACATTTTTGTTTACTCATGTTATCTTGACTTTACTTTTTAATAAACATCGCTGTTACTATAAAAAATATCTCAGTTTGGGCTGCTTGCAGTGGCTCAAGCCTGTAATCCTAGTCAGACCCTATCAGTGCTCCTCAAAGCTCAAGTCCATCAGTGCAGGGCCATACAACAAATACCCCTACTTAGAGGGTTAGGAATGGCTACTGCTACAGAAAACAGAATAGCAGGTTTATCTACTTCATTATCCCACTACCACACACTCTCAAAGGATTTCTCAGACAGTTTGCAAGAAATAGCAAAATCTATCCTTACTCTATGGTCCCAAATAGACTCTTTGGCAGCAGTGACTCTCCAAAACCACTGAGGCCTAGACCTCCTCACTGCTGAGAAAGGAGGACTTTGCACCTTCTTAGGGGAAGAGTGTTGTTTTTATACTAACCAGTCAGGGACAGTACGAGATGCCACCCAACATTTACAGGAAAAGGCTTCTGAAATCAGACACCTTTCAAACTCTTATACCAACCTCTGTAGTTGGGCAACAAGGCTTCTCCCCTTTCTAGGTCCTGTGACAGCCAACTTGCATTACTCACCTTAGAGCCCTGTGGTTTTTAACCTCCTTGTCAAATTTGTTTCCTCCAGGATTGAGGCCATCAAGCTACAGAGGGTCTTATGAATGGAACCCCAAATGAGCTCAACTAACAACTTCCACCAAGGACCCCTGGACCAACCTACTGGTCCTTTGACTGGCCTAGAGAGTTCCCCTCTGGAGGACACTAACACTGCAGGACCCCTTCTTTGCCCCTATCCAGCAGTAAGTAGCTAAAGCGGTCATCGCCCAATTCCCAACAGCAGTTGGGGTGTCCTGTTTAGAGGGGGGATTGAGAGGTGAAGCCAGTTGGACTTCCTGGGTTGAGTGGGGACTTGGAGAACTTTTCTGTCTAGCTAGAGGATTGTAAATGCAATCAGTGCTCTGTGCCTAGCTAAAGGATTGTAAATGCACCAATCAGCACTCTAAAAACACACCAATCAGCGCTCTGTGTCTAGCTAGAGGATTGTAAATGCACCAATCAGCGCTCTGTAAAATGGACCAATCACCAGGACGTGGGCAGGGACAAATAAGGGAATAAAAGCTGACCACCTCAGCCAGCAGCAGTAGCCTGCTGGGGTCCTGCTGCACATTGTGGAAGCTATGTTCTTTCGCTCTTCAAAATAAATCTTGCTGCTGCTTACTCTTTGGGTCCAAGCCACATTTAAGAGCTGTAACACTCACTGCAAAGGTCTGCAGCTTCATTCTTGAAGTCAGCAAGACCAAGAACCCACCGGAAGGAACCAAGTCCGGACACACTAGCACTTTGGGAGGCCGAGGTGGGTGGATTTCCTGAGCTCAGGAGTTCGAGACCAACCTGGGCAACATGGTGAAAACCCATCTCTACTAAAATACAAAAAATTAGCTGGGCATGGTGGCACATGCCTGTAATCTCAGCTACTCAGGAGGCTGAGACAGGAGAATCATTTGAACCTGGGAGGCAGAGGTTGTAGTGAGCCGAGATGGAGCCACTGCACCCCAGCCTGGGCAACATAGTGAGACCTCATCTTAAAAAAAAAAAAAATTCAGGTTGGGGGCTAACTTAAATGGACATCTGACCATGAGATCAAAAAGGATATTTCAGCATAAAGGAAAGTTACTGTCAGCAAGTAATCATGGCTTTTGGTAGGCAACATATATGGTACTTATCTCATTTGCTTCATGTTTAACATCATAAAGAGGCCCATTCTGAAATTTTATTAGCAAATATTGATTATAATTTCATTAGACAAAACCAGTGCACACTAGTTAATGTTCTGTGGTGGCCAGAGAGATTCTGTGGTTAACTACAACTGAAAACTTAATCTCTTTTGGAAAACATAGAAAAAAAATTTTGCTAGGGAGCTAAGCCTTTTTATGGGAACTATGTGAAGAGTGAGGAGGAAGCCTAGAGGTGTTTGCTGAATTTACTAAATGAGAGGGGCAGGAGAGTAATAGAGTATAACAGAAGTCTTAGAATGGCTTGCTTTTTTTTTTTTTTTTTTGGCTTACTCTCTTCTGAGAGTGCTCTTTAAATCTTTGTTCTTTTTTCTTTTCTTTTCTTTTCTTTTTTTTTTTTTTTTGAGATGGAGTCTCGCTCTGTCACTCAGGCTGGAGTGCAGTGGCCGGATCTCAGCTCACTGCAAGCTCTGCCTCCCAGGTTTACACCATTCTCCTGCGTCAGTAAAGCTTTTTTCTGAAAGCTAAGTAGAACAATCCTATAGGGTTCATTGAGCAGTTCACCTAGTCATGCACAAGAGAGATGAAAAGGGTTACAGGATTCCAGACAAGCCCGTCTATGAATTTTAAGGGAAAACCAAGCGAATGGAGGGCACTGAATTTTGAGATGCTATCTGGTTATTTCAGTTCATATTTTAACTAAATACAGTAAACAACAGAAATGGGAAAACATCTGTAAACCTTCGGGAAATAATTCTTTCTTGAGTAATAATGGAAGATACTGGCAGTCTAACAACTGATACCAGAGGGATTTGATTGCTGTTTTAGTGGAACCACAGAATTAATTGATAACGGAAGTGCTGCAGAGACAATATCCCTTGTTTTTTGGTGAAGCACACAGAAAAGTGTCTTGCAAAGTTTTCACACACAAACGTGGTTGCAAAGTTTTCACACACAAACGTGGTTGCAAAGTTTTCACACACAAACGTGGTTGCAAAGTTTTCACACACACACATGGATCGAATAGGGACTGAGTCACATGAATTGAAAGCTTGTGAAAGAGAATTGCTGTAAAGGGGATTGTGACCTAGACAGGCACCCACTTTGGTGTTAAGTCTTTCCTTAACTATTACTGAGTTAGGAGAAGACAGTATTGCAATCATTTTTTTTTAGATATTAAAAAAATGGACTATGTTGCACATACCAAATAATCTAGTTGATTTGTGACATCATTTGACAGTCTGCTCTGTAGCAGAAGTCAAATGAGAATGGAGTTTGAAAATCCAGAGGGACTTTTCAAGTTAAAAAAAATTGAATAATTATGGAAGTAATGTATTTATCATACAAATGTTGGAAAATGTAGAAGTTTCAAAAAAAAAATTAAAATCACCCAAATCCACTTTTGCTCCTTTCTGTTTGAGAAATTCAGTCTAGCTACCAAAACTAATTTTAAGTAGCTAAATTCTTATTAAGCTCCACTTTATTTTTCTCTCTTCTAACCTCACACATTTCAGTTGCCACTTCTTAATGCTCCCTACCCCATTATATTAGATTGGTGCAAAAGTAATTACAGTTTTACAATTAGATGTACATATCTGAAATTATAATTATTCATTAATTTGGCAAATACATATTGAGTACCACAGCAGGTGCTGGGGCACAATTTAGACACAGATTTGTATTCTAGCTTTTCCACAGAATATTTTATCACAAGCAGTTTTCAATATACTTATTTTTCAAACATGTGCTTTTAATATTTGCATAATGTTATATTTTATGGCTATATCTTATTTATTTCTACCCCTCACCTATTATTGGAAACTAACTTTTACTATTTTCAATAATTCTGTAATAAACATCTTTCTTCGTATCTCTGATTTATTTCCTCAGGTTAGAGTCCTGAAGACTTCAGAGCAATGTTACTATATTACAAGATTACTAGAATGACAGGTAAGACCCTTGTTACATACTGCTAAGTATCTTTCTGGAAATCTTTCCAGAAGTTTTTATGAACTTTCCTTCGCACAATCAGTGCTATTTTAATCCAGCTTTGCCAGTGTTTAGTATCTCACACATTTTAGTAGCCCCTGTTTTGATTAAATTTTGTTAAACAAAAAGTATGCTTCTTATTCTTTTAATATGTATTTCTTTGATTACTAGTGAGGTGAGAAAAAAACCTTTTTTCTTTTGATATCGGTCTGAAAAAAGATACATATATATATCTTAAAGTATATATATATTTATGTACACATACTACTAATACTTTATGTGTATATATGTGTGTGTGCATATATATACAGGAGAGGTGGGGTGGGATAGGATTGCTACTGATATCTGCTAGGCACTTGCCACCCTCAAGAATTATCAGGTCCTAATGTCAGTAACACTGAGGTCAAGAAACCCTGCATTAAACTATTCACAATTATTTTTGGCATTTGTGATAAGATAAGCTTGAATAATTCTCCAAATAGAATGTGTGTGTGTCTCTTTTTATGCACATATGTCTGGGCTATTTATTTTCTTCCACTTCTGCAGAAATTGAATTTGGTGACACTACCGTATGGCTCTAATTATTATTGCATTTAAAAATGTATTACTATTTTATTGGGCCAGTCTGTTAACCAATAAATTATTTTGGAAGACTTAATGTCAATATAATGTTCAATTTCCTCTATCACATTTGTAGAATATCTGTATATTTATTTCAAGTGTCTTTGTAAATTCCCCAGTCATGTTTCATAATTTTAATAAATAGCTGTACCCATTTCATGTCTGCAATTTTAAAGTATTTTCTTAGTATTGTACATGTGATTTTTTGACCATTTTTTAAAAACAGAAATATAGTCTAAGATGCAATATATTTTCATAATATGGTATATTAAAAATTACTGTGATTTTATTTTGTATATCTATTTTTAAACATGCTATCTAAATAACAACATAAAAATTCCCATGTGCTTAAAAAAATCAAACAATATAAGTTTAAGTCCAGTAAAATGTGTACATTGTTCTTCCTATCCATTCCTAATCCCATTCCTCACTGTAGAGGAACGTTTATATATAACTAAGGACTGAATCTTACTCCTTTTGTTACATATTTGCAAACATCACATTAAATGTAGATATAAGAAATACTTTTTACACAGATAAAATTATATCCTATATATTTAAAAACCCCATTGTTTCTTAGTGTATCTTAATCATTCTACATATGCATCTATGAATATACATTTATCTGCAGAAGGCAGAATAATCCCCTTCTACAGAGATGTCCAAAGTCCTAATGCCTGGAGCCTATGTTACCTTCTATGACCAAATGGGCTTTGCAAATATGACTAAGGTTGAGATGGGGAGAATATCTTGGGTTTTCTAGGTGAGCCCAATCTAATCGCACCAGGCCTTAAAAGTGGAAAATTGAGGCAGAAAAGTAGGAATGAAGCAATGTGAGAAGGATTTGCCCTTCTCTTTCTGCCTTTGAACATGGAGAAAGGAGCCAAGGAATAAAGGTAGCCTCCCAAAGTGAGAAAAGACAAGGCAACATTCTCCCCTCCAGCCTCCAGAAAGGGACACTGCCCTGCCAACACCTTGATCTTAGCCCAGTGAGACCTGTGTTGGACTTCTGATCTACAGAACTGTAGGAAATTACTGTGAGGCCAAGGCTGGCTTAGTGAAAGAGGCTGCAGGGATTAGAGATGTCTGCAATTAATGCAGGACTGGAGGAGTGGCAGCACACCACATTCTTGCACGCTAGGCGAACCACACTTCCCAAAGGTCACCACATAGTCATCGTGAGAGGCAAGTGGACAGTAGAGGTTATTGGTCCCGCAATATATTTTTTGATGAGGGCTGTAGTGACAAAGCCTTAAAGATGTGGAGGCACGGATGCTTAGCTGGTCATAGAACCAGCTATAGGGATCTCAAACAGTGAGTTATCAATCAAATTCTTAAAAGGTCATCCTTGTCCAGCAAGCAATGTTACAATTTCTCCAAATTGAGAAACTACCTGAAGAAGTGAAGTAAAATAAATGGATTAGAATTTTCAAGTTTGACAAAAGAAACAGTAGAGTTAGAGTAGTAGATAGGAGGCTAGGAAGAAGTTAATAAATAGTATATTTTTGGAAGCTGCTAATGGTGATCAATAAAAATGTTTTCAGTTGTTGTTTGAGCACTTGAAAAGTTTTTTCATAAATATTTTAGAGGAGAGAAAGATTGTTGGGATAAATCAGTTTCCTTGAAGAGTAAAAGCCATATATCAAATCATGTAACTAGAAAATATGAAAAAAGCAAGTTCAAAGTCTGGAAAAATTAAACTATGTAACAGATAAATCAAGTGAACATTTAAAAAATATTCTGTATATAAGTCAAGTGAATATTGATATGTATGTTCTATATATATATCTAGTGAATATTATATATATATATCTTAACTATTGAGAATAAATAAAATAGTGCCATAAAATAGGCACTAAAGATTCACAGAAGGCCTACAATGGATTGCATACATCATATTATTATGATAGCAAATACAGAAAAACATGGAATGGATTTAGTTACACACTTTGCATCAGAAATGAAAAGTTTCTGTTTCAAATTGCTGAGTACATCTACATGATGCTTCATGGTAAGTCTAAAGTGTGATAAATTTCGAAGTTTAAAAAAGGATGTAAGAAATTGTATAATGTCATTACATGCTTTGAGTTATTTAAGTTTGGGAGGGAAATTTTGAATTATGTACTTTAATGCATTTCTGAAGAGACATTTATGGTATACTTTAATGGAAAGGGTTTGGAAATTGGAATCCAATGACCTAGGTTTGAACTTGGTGTTGTCACTTAACTTGCAGTGTGACCTTTGACAGGTCTGTTAAATACTTAGCTTTCAATTTTCTTACTAACACAATAAAGAAGAAGCTAGATAGAAGGGATATTTAGCTGTAGTATAGTAACCAGTGAGTATTCATGGTTGCATTCCCTGACTGGCTGGTCTTGCTTAGCAGGCAACTGTCCCTTGTTCCCCACAATGCAAACTCATCTATAATGGCACAAACCAGACCAATGGTTGCCTGGGTAGAAGGTAGGGCATGGGAGAGGATTACAAAGATGCACAAGGAAGATTTTGGGTCTGATGAATAGGTTCATTATATTGATTGTGAGGATGGTTACACAGGTGTATACATATGTCCAGATTTACTCAGTTTGCTGAGTGTCAATTATACTTTAATAATTTTTTACACTGTCTGAAGGACTTCGTTTTGGCATTTCTCATAGTGTGGGTCTGCTGGTGATTAATTCTTTTAGCTTTTGAATGCCTGAAAACATATTTATATTATCTTCATTTAAAGAGATATTTTCACTGGGTATAAAATTCTACATTGATAGTTTTATTATTTTACTACTTTAAAAATGCTGCATCAGTATCTTCTCACTTGCAGTGTTTCTGATCAGAATTATGCCATTGTCCTTATTTTTGTTCCTCTTACATAACATGTCTTTTTTTTCGCTTTTAAGATTTTTCCTTTTATCACTGATTTGGTGCCATTTCATTATGGTTGTGATATGCCTTGGTGTAATATTTTCAATGTTTCCTGTGCTTGGAGTTTCAGTTCTGTGAGTTTACGTTTTTTTCATCAAATATAAAAAACTTTTCTCCATTATTTCTTCAAACATTTTTTTCTATTCCCGTTGTCTTCTTTGGGTATTTCAACATCATGTATATTAGTCTACTTAAAGCTATCTGATAGCTCAGTGATACTTTTTTTTTTTTCTAATTTTTTTTAATCTGCAGGTTAGTAAACATAAAGATAAATAAAATTAACATAGATTTTATTTATCTTCATTTTTACTAACCTTCTGCAAGATCTGATTTATTTTTATTTATTTATTTATTTTTTTGAGACAGAGTCTCGCTTAGTCGCCCAGGCTGGAGTGCAACGGCGCGATCTCGGCTCACTGCAAGCTCCGCCTCCCAGGTTCACGCCATTCTCCTGCCTCAGCCTCCTGAGTAGCTGGGACTTCAGGCGCCCGCCGCCTCGCCCGGCTAATTTTTTGCATTTTTAGTAGAGACGGGGTTTCACCGTGTTAGCCAGGATGGTCTCGATCTCCTGACCTCGTGATCCGCCCGCCTCGGCCTCCCAAAGTGCTGGGATTACAGGCGTGAGCCACCACGCCCGGCCAAGATCTGATTTTCTATTAATCTCGTCCATTGTATTTTTCATCTCAGTTGTAATTTTCCCCTCTAGAATTACGAATTGATTTTTTTCATGATTCTGCTAAACTTCTTGAACGTCTTAATGCTATAATAACTGTCTTAATGTATTTTTCTGCTAATTTTAACATTTAACATTTGTGCCAGTTATGGACCAGTTTAGATTGGTTTATTTTTCTCCTTATTATAGCTATATTTTCCTACTTCTTTGTGTGCCTGGTGATCTTTGATTTTTGTATTCCCATAAATATGCTTGAGCTTTTTTTGGTATGTATTTAAAGTAGTTGGAAAGGGATTTTTTGTGTGTGTGGAGGATGGGTTGCTTGTATGATTTAAGTGGGACTACAGCAGCATTTAGTCTAGGGCTAAATATTGCCTGCTAGTAAGACAACACCCTTGTGAGTAATCTACCCAATACTCTGTGAATTAGACATTTTCTAGTTTGCCTGGTGGGATATGTAGATCCTTTGTTCCTTTCTTTCTCTTGTTGTCTTTCTTTGTGATTAGACAGTTTTCTGTAGTGGTAGGGTTTGATTTCTTTATCTTTTCTGTATCTTATACAGGTTTTTGCTGTGGTTATCGTGAGGCTTACATGTAACATCTTGTTAATATAAGCATCTATTTTAAGCTTATAACAATTTAATGTTAATCCAATGGTGGATTGAGGTATGAGTCCAGTATTTGTTCCATTGGATTTTATTAAAAAAAAATACCGTGTCATTGAGCATCAGTTATCACAAATGTTG